TCCCCCGCCCCAACTGAGAGCGCCGCGAATTGACCAAGTGAAGCTACAACTTTGCGGCATAAATTGCGGGGCCCCGGCCATGTCGCTGACCAACACAAAGACGGGGTTTTCGGTCAAGGACATCTTGGACCTGCCGGACACCAACGATGAGGAAGGCTCGGTGGCCGAAGGGCCAGAGGAGGAGAGCGAGGGGCCGGAGCCCGCCAAGAGGGCCGGGCCGCTGGGGCAGGGCGCCCTGGACACGGTGCAAAGCCTGCCCCTGAAGAACCCCTTCTACGACAGCAGCGACAACCCATACACGCGCTGGCTGGCCAGCACCGAGGGCCTGCAGTACTCCCGTAAGTAGCGAAACTTGGCCGCCGTGGCTGTGACCGTCTCCGTTCCCGCGGCCGCAGCCCGGGCCGGACCCTGGGGGAGGAAGGGGAAGGAGTCTTGTGAGCCGACCCCCAACCCTGCGCTCCTGGCAAGATTTTTAACGCTTGTTTACGGCGCCCTAACTCTTTCCTCCTCGTCAAGCCCCCCCCCCCGAGTCTGGGAAAAAGACTCGTTCTCAGATATTTCTTCCAAAGAGAGAAATTAGGAGGAAGAGGGGGAGGGGAGTACCTCCCAAGGGCCGGTTACAGACGTCAACCCAGACTGACGGCTCCAGCCGGAGCCCCCTCCCCCATTCCGACCGCCGGGAGGGACTGGCCTGGAGCACTGGAGCGAGCCAGCCAGCCTCGGGGTTCGGGGAGAGGGTGGCCCGGGTATAAATAGCTCACCCTGCCCCCTGCGCTTCATAGAGGACGCTTTGTGCCGTGCGGAGGGTGTCCAGCAAGTCGGGAAGTAGAAACGAAAGCCCCCAAAAATCTGCCTTGGATGGCCGAGTCTATCAATGCCGGGATTGTGGGGGTTTTCTTTTAAAAATCTGCCCACGTCTCTCCAGAGAGGAAACTGCTTAAGGGGGCCGGAGCCCTTAACCCGCGACGATCTTCTCGGCGCGCCGCCGCCCCCCCAAATGCGCACCCACACTGCACGAACCCCCAGAAACCAGAGCCCCAAGCCCCCACTCCTGTCCCGTCTCCTCTTTTCCCGGAGGGACGCCGGCGGCTACCTCCG